TTTTTAACCCCCTAAAATTAAGGGAAACCCTTAACATAGGTGTTTATGGGATCTTCCAAATTCAAGACTCCAGCCAGCTCAGCAAGACCTTGCAGACAGCAAGGCAGAGGGGTGGCTTTTCAAGCAGCCAGACAGTTCCTTGCAGCAAAACATGCAGGCAGCTAGACCAGCCAGGCAGCTTGGATTTGGGGAGTAGGACTAGCCCCCCTAATACTAAACACCCCGGGATGAATTAGTTTTTAGTATTAGGGGGGAGAACCCACAAATGGTAGGTTGATTTTTGAATTGTTTTTTAAAGGGGATCAATTAAAAGTCAAATTGGCCAAACTGAAATTTTCGGAAATTGGAGATGGATGCCTGTTTTTAGTATTAGGGGGACGTTTAGTATTAGGAGGAAGGGATTATGCTGATGTGCTGGCGGCCAGTCACCGTGATTACTATGCAGATGACCTCCTGCTCAATGCTCTGCTTAATGCTCTCGCTGAAAGACTGCTCACTCCAATCGTCGTCTTTGCTTGGAGCACTACTCGCCAGATTTGGGAACGATCAGTTGTCTGCAGCCAGTTTCAAATGGAACAGCCATCTCCGGTATAAAAGGTTTCAGACCCATTTTGATCTTAAGTGACAACCATTATCGTTCCCTTGCTCCTGCCAACAATGAGGTAGACATCCCAGCTGCCTGGCTGGAATAGATTGAAGCCAAACCTCGACAGTTTTACCGCGGAGGCGGATCCAAGTTGTTTGCAGCCGTTTGAGTTTGCCATCAACGCCTAAAGCCAGGTCGGTGTTGAGCCTATCTTCGGACACTGCAAGCCAATCTGCTGGCAGTCGTCTTAGTTTGCCCGTGAGCCACAGCAACACCATCCCCAAAGCTAAATCGGTGTTGAGCTTGCCTTCTCAGCATTCCAAAGACCAATTTCCAAAACCCCGAAGTGCGGCCAGTGCCAAAACAGGTCCAGGAACGGCGTGCACGGGCCCACATTCCAGAGCCTCCTCGAGTTCGTGCTCCAAGACACCTGGCCGAAATGCTGCCGCAAAACAAGCTGCCTGTCGTGCTCGGAAGCCAGCTGAGGGACAGGTGGCCATAACTCTCTGGCAGTGTCCTGTGTGTCAAATTAAGTTCAAAGGAAGTGCCAAGTATGTGTATGACTGCAAACGTCGACATATCAAAACCAGGCATCCCACTGAAAAGTATTCAATTTTAATTGGTAAAGCGCAGATGACCATTTGTGAAGCAAGTGAGAATCTCCCTGCAGAAGCACGCGCATGGCAGTGTCCATGTTGTCCTAAAGCATTGCCAGCGCTTCCCAAAAGAGCTGCTCATCTTGCTGTAAATGCGCATCGGCGTAAGTTTCATCCTGAACTCACTACGAAAGAATGGCGATCAAAGATGGTCTCGCTCTAGGCAAAGGGTGTGAAAAAAACCGCAGGTGTCCAAACAACAAAGAAGCCTGGCGGACAAGAAACGCCGTCGCCTGTGGAAGACGCACGAAGTAGTTGAAGTTTTTGATCCTTCAGAAAAAGCCAAGCAGTACCGGTGCACCTCGCAGTTTTGGTGCATGGCTTGTGCCTAAGATACGGTGGTAGCAATCGTGTCATGAATGAAAAGCTGACTTGTTCCAAGGCCAAGAAGCTCCCGCACAAGCGACAGAGATGCATTATTGCATGGAAATGCCTTCAAAATGCAAGAACAATTGACAATCGGCCAGTCAAAGACCTTCTGCATTCCTGGATCCGGGGCCATCTCCAAGTTTGAAATGCATTTCTGTCAGGTGCCAAGGGGCTGCAACGATTGGCATAGCTGGTGCGACATGACCAGCTCGACATCGCTGACCTGCAAGAAATTGCCTTTACTCAGAAAGACGCTAAAGCATTCCGAAGTTTTGCTTTCAAACAAGGATTCAGGTTCTATTATCAGCTGTTCACTAGTGCTGGCGGTCGTGCTGGGCGTGGAGTTGGCATTCTGGTAAACAAGCGACTCAGAAGCTCCTTGCTCCGAACTTGGGCTGAACCCGACTGTCAAAGTGTCACATTTTTTCGACATACTGGGCGGTTTCCGGCTTTGCGCCCCAGACCGCCCAACAGCTGGTTGTTTTCATGAGCCAACATTTGTCTCGGCGCCCGTGGGCCATTTTTGGGTGATTGGAACTTGGAACCCTGTGAATGTGACATTGCGCAAGTCTTGCAGCATGATTACAATGCATCCATCTTGGCTGTCACCGACACAGATGGTAACTTGCTACCGACCAGATTTGTGAAGGCCAACGTGCAATCGATTATGGCCTGACCAATGCATTCTTCAGATCTCAGCATTTTCAGGAGTCCCGAATTGGCGATCACAAGACGATCCAGTGTTGTGTTTGCCCGCCTGAAAACCAAAACTTGAGCTGTACTTTGGAGACACAACGAAATTTGGCATGTCCGAACCCTTTATTCTCCTCTGAACAGTGGCACAGTGTGATCATACATTGGCAGTCTTCACTGCCAGGTTGGAGAAAGTCCTGTGCCGTGCCAGCCAAGACACCCTTCGCAAATACCCGCCCGAGAACAGAGTGACTCGGTGTTTGCCTAATGAAAAAATCCGGATCAAAGATGAAATCAATTTTTTCACGACCCAGACGCCGCAAGGCACCCTGCATCGACCAACTTCTGGATTTCTTGTCCGAAAACTTCAGAGACAAGTTTACCGCTTAGCTGAGATGCTGGCCCTTGAACGAAATGGCCACACAAGTTCTAAGCAATTCAGAACCTTGCGTTGCCAAGTCAGACCGATTTTTTATACCCTGTCTGTTGCTGCGAACTTGGCTGCGGCCAGTGCTGAGCTGAGCTGGCCCATTTGCGGAAAACTGAAATTGGTTTTCGTGTGCAGCAGTGGCGAAATGCTCGATGTGCTCATCGCGTTCAACACATGACCTTGTGACTCGACACCCGCAGGTCACACTGCGTACCTGTGTGGATGATCGCACCTTCACTGGCTCTGTGGCCAACATCATTGCCATGAAAGATGATTGGCTCATTTGGAGTGATGCCCGCTGGGTTTAGTCGAGAACCAGGCCAAAACTATCTACTTCCACCGCACACCTGCGGGTCGTGCCATGTTTTTAGCTCTTGGTGTTCCTGCTAATGCCATCTCCACCAACCCTAAAATTCTAGGTTGTGAACTTAAGCCGTCCCAAGGTCGTGTTTCTACGACGTGTGAAAGGAGCCGCCTCAGCGACGTAGTTGCCTTTGCAATGGTCCCGCAAACGCTCCTTCATTGTTGGCCAGGGCTTGTCTCGAGCTGCTTGGGGATGGTGGTGGAGGATGCCTACCAAAGCTGAAATTGGTAAAGTGCAGACTGCAGTGAAGTTCGCGCTTGAGGAGTCCCCGGTGGCTTCCAAGCATCTTCAAAACATTGCTCGTGGCCACGGAGCAAACCTGGAGTTCAGAATAGTCTCTGACCTGTTGCGGGTTGCCTGGCGACAAGCTTCTCGAAACCACAATGCTCCTGGTCCGTGGAGCTCTATGTGGGCAAAAAAATGAACTTGCTGCTTGGAGGTGGAAAGCGCCTCGACGTTGGCATTTCCATCATGATCAGGAGGGCTCTTTTGATCTGACTGGTACACAGATGCGTCGACTTGACCATGTTCTTCATGTTCTTCGCCAGAGCTGGTGCCGCTGGCACTACAACAAATGGTCCCTTGAAAAACGTCGTGATGCGACTGCTTTGCCGTATCATTCTGACCACCTCCATTGGATCCGCAGCAAGGCTGCTGACAGCAAGGACTACTTGCAAGTGCTCACAGGGGCCTTTGTCAGTCCGGCTTGCTTTCGCCGCGCGAGGCGATCTTGCATTGTCCTTTCTGTGCTGACCCGGCTCTGGTCCCAAATCAAGATCACCTTCTTTGGCATTGTCCAGCAAATGCTCTACATGCCCCAAGATTACTCCTTTTGGCGCGATCACCATTTCCTGTGGATGAATTGCAACCTGTCCAACGTCGGATGGCATGGCCTGTGAGCCCATTTTTGGCTCCCTTCAACGATCAGATTTTGGCTTGGTTCGTCGAGGTGCGGCGAATCGTGCTGGCTGATCGGTGGCGACGATGATGATGCGGCGGACGTGTGCCGCCCCTCGGTGGGCTGCATGCGCTCCTATAAGCATGCAGTCTTGGAAGTGTGATGATGATGGATTTCGGGTTCTATGGGTTGTTTGCCATTGCCATGAGTGGTAAGCACAGGAATTGCAACCGGAAGAACAATGGGTTTCTTGGGTAGGTTATGGTTGGACCGAATTCCTGTGATGTCACTGAAATGATGGTTATAGGATTGGGAGCCACTATCTTAAAATGGCCGCAAGTTTCAGGTGGGTGAATTATTCAGACCAATGGGTACTTGACTGTGCATTTCAATTTCAGTTATAGGAAACAGGTCATGACCATACTATAACCCACTTGTAGGTGGGATACCCCAGATACATGATAAGAAACCAGTTACTAACTGGGATGACCAATGGGCATGTTGAATCGGGACAAGTTGAAAAAATGGGAATATGCCAACAACCCCTTCAGTTGATTGCACAACCACTGGATGATCATGGGAAGCCTTGGGGTTGTGGAGGATGCTTTTTGGCCCTACCAAGTTATCCTGAAGAATTCGCCGTTTCACCAATTATCATTTGTGAAACATGCAATTTGCACAAGATTGGATGTAATTGACATAGGATGGTTTCACATTAATCATGGCGAAATGTGGTACTCAACAGTTGAATGGTTCTTCATACTGCTCCACATCAAGAGGCAATATCCTTATTGGGGAACCCCCATCACGTTTGACTCAAGAAAGGGCGTTAGCTAGTCCCAGTTTGAAACATGTCGTCCTTCAAAGACGGGATAATGATACCCAAGTGACTGATATTCTTCATTTCATCTAAAGCCATCAGTAAGTTCATAGACAGTGCCAGGTGATTTTCAGGTTGGTTGTCCTATTTCGAGGTGCCAATCCCTCACGAAACGCCCCACAAGGAAGTGCCAGTCGCATTTCAAAGCTGGAACCCTGAAGACCTATGCGCCCCTTGGCTGAAGCTAAAACCTTGAAGGGATTGAAGGGGTGCCCTGAAACACCATGGAACAATTTGAGAGATTGTGAAAACATAGCCTCATGAGTAAGGTTTTCCTTTTGAAATGTTCTTAGCCCCTGATTGGCAAACTTGTCAGGTGGTTTTATGTGGTACTCTGGCGCATCTAGATTGATTTGTCATTATTACTGATGAGGTTTGAACATGCTTAACCATTGCAAATTGTGAACACTCTAGGTACGGTGTGGGGGGGTTCATGGTGAGAAGTGGAAGTTTTTCACAATTTTGATGACCTCGTTCATCTAAAGCGATGGCCATGTTTCCTGTGGTTTCTCAATGCTTCCTTCAGTGCAAAACAATCCAAGAAATCAGGTTTTAACATGTTTTAACCATGTTTTATATGTCTCTCATGCTCACCAATTCTTTATTCCAAACCTTTTTTTCCATGCTCACCAGTATGACTTCGTAACAAGGAGCAACTCGAGTTACGTTCTAAGTTGGTTTTGGAGGGCTTGCAGAGGAGGGCTGCCGCAAAAGCAGCCCAGATGTTTGCGAAGAAACTGTTGATGTTTTGGATGGTGATTAGGAGATCAAATGAAATTATACATTATATAGTGTTATAATATATGAGCTCTGCACACATATTTTCGAGAATAATCGAAACACCAGTAAGATCCAGTGAGAGCGAAACAAGAATGCACAGCTACTTTCACACTGTACGAAAACGTCACAGAAATACCAAAACAGTCCCCGAAAAGATAGAAAAGTAAATAAACTACAAAAAAGGAAGAATTAGCCACTATTTTTGGCAAGATTAAACTGGGAACATATTAAAGTACAAAAACCAAAATAGTGAAAGCTAGTGACTGATTGGAAGATCCTGAAACCCGAAATACCACGATAGTACAATAGATACTGAGATACCAGCCAAAAAATCTGCTTTACTTCCATGAACTTCCATGAACTTCCATGAACTTCCAATAAATCCCATTAAGGCGCTTCTATTTGTAAACCAGGCATTGGACCGCTTGCGCTCCCATCAGGTCCATAGGCTGTGGTCTCCTAGGCCAAGATTGGATCGTGCCGGTGGCCGAGACGGGAGTTTCAATGGAATTTCAATGGGATTCCATTGGGTTCATGGGATTCAATATTGATTTTTAAATTTGATTTTTAGTGAGGTTTAACAGCAATTATGGGGATGAAATGGTGGAATGTCGCACATTCATAGATGTCTTCATGATGCCTCTGTCTTATCTAGTAGATTTGTTGTGATTGTCCATAGCTATGGTGAATAACCCGAGGGTAAAAATACGCGGTTAAATGTATGGAAATATCCAAAGATATCCTAAAACTATGAAAGTGCGGGCAGAGACTGTTCTTCCAATCCAATGTCTAGGAGTTCCATGTTAGGAACGAAGGGTACCAGGCGAATATCCTCCTTGGGAAATTCTGATGATGGTGGGATGGCCAAAAATCATCTTTGGGTTGTCACAAAAAAGCGGATTCACCGATTCACCCCCAATAAAAACGTCGATTTCTTAGGAAGATGATGATTCACCATGCAATTGTAAGGCCCCCTATGTTCAAATGCAGCCATGTCCATGGCCTTGCGACTTCGGAAAATTGGGACCGCATCTCTGTATCTCTCTATCTCTCTATCTCTTTATCTCTCTATCCCCCTCTATCTATCTACCGACCAGTACCTATCTACCTACCTACCTACCTATCTATCTATCTAGCTATCCACCCTTCCATCCATCCATTTGTCTGTTTGTCTGTCTGTCTGTCTGTCTGTTTGTCTGTCTGTCTGTCTGTCTATCTACCTGTCTATCTATTTGTATCTCAGCTGTATCGCATCTATATCCCATATGAAATATATATATATATATATACCATGTATGCTCAGCTTACCTCATCTATCCAGCCTTTCTATGCCTTTCTCATATATCTCATTTCCAACTTATCTCATCTGCCTCATCTATCTAAGCCGTCTCATCTGTTTCATTTACTCTATCTAATCTATGTGACGTGTCTAATCCGTCTAATCTATCTAATATATCTCGTCTATCGAATCTAGTCCAACCTCACCTTTCTAACCTGTCCAATCTATCTAATACATCAAATATGTCTAATATACTTATCTATCTAATCCAATCTAATCCAATCTAATCTAGTTTAATCCAAATCTAATCTAATCCAATCCGATCCATTGGCATCTATCTCTCGTATCTATCCTATCTTGTCCTATCCCAACTCATCTCATTGAGCTTATACGATCCTATCCTATCCCATCCTAATCTATCTACCCTATCCATCCCATGTATCCCATCTTTCCTTTACATCATACACATCCTATCCTGTCTATCCAATGTTTCCCATCTACGCTATCTACAGTAGCTCTCCTATCTCTGTTCTCTATCCTACGCGATGACCCTCCAAACTCCACTCCACACTCCACACTGCAGACTCCACACCGCACACTGGCACTATATACACCCACACTTCACATTCAAGACTCTACACACGCCACACGCGACCCTCCGCGCACACTTTACAATCCAAATTCTATACTTCTTACTCTCTACAAAACACACTCAACACATCTGACGCTCCCAAATCCACACGCCACACATCACTGCAAATGCTATAGTCCACAGCCTACGCTCTCCACACTGCACACCACACTTTAGCCTGCAAACTCTACACTCCACACTGCAAACTCCACACCTCACACCATTATGCACTAAACGCCCCACGCTGCATTTCACATTCGACATACCGAGGTCTACAACTTAACACCATACACTGCAAACATTACATTCCACGCCATGCGCGCTCCACCCACCAGTCGCCACCCTCCGCACTCCAGACTGCAAACTCGACACTCCACATTTCTACCTCCGCGCTCCACCCACCCCTCTCCGCATTTCACACACTACACTCCACACAGCTTCCTGCCATAGACACTACTACACTTCACACGTTTGTAATCCCAGCAGACACCACAGCACCATCCACGCTCCACATTCTACGGTATGTGACAGCCCGCACAGACTCGACAGGTCCCATTCTCACTACACTGCAAAGTCTACTCCCCCACGCCCTACACAACACTTCACTCTTTAGACTGCAACCTCGGCACTCCACATTCTACACGCTCCAGAGTCCACACACACACACACACTGTGGGACACACACAGAGAAATGGTGCAAGATGGCGCAAGGTTCCCAAAAAGTAGGCCAAGGTTAACAGAAAGTTATCCAAGGCCAAAAAAAAGACGTAAGGTTAAAAAAAGTAATCCAAGGTCAAAAAAAAGATTTACCCTAATCCATAGTAATCCTCAGTTACAGTACTCGTATCTTTTGCATGGGTTACACATGGTTACACCACAATTTTGCATGGGTTTCAGCCATGATTTTTGCTGCTTAAACCAGGGTTTCTTCTGGTTAAACCAGACTTTTTGTCCCTGAAATCCGGTTCAACGACAGTTAGGTTCCCCGTGTCGCACCCAGGTGCTGGAGCAGCTCCGCGAAGCAGGCTTGCTGCCGCGACGAGCGGTCGCCTGGACGAAAGCGAGAAAAACGAAGAACGAATGGGTACCAAGAAATTTTCGGGGATCATCCAATCTATGATCACCACCTGCATTTTTTGAACCAGTGAACCCTGTTTTTTCTGTTGCAAAATCATGATCCTTGTGAGTCAACCCCCTGTTCTTGTCAGTCGTCGCTCGCATTTTGATTGCTTTAATCAATTCTGGTTGGTGGTTTGGAACATGGTTTTTATTTTTCCATGATATATTGGGGAAATTCATCCCAACTGACTTTCATATATTTCAGAGGGGTGGCTCAACTACCAATCAGTATGGTTTATCAATGGATACCTCAGTATTGGCTTATCATTGATAGGTAAAATACCTCAATCTTGGGGATGGAGAGGTGGTGTTGATGGTTTTTTGTGGGTTATCAATCTAATAATCTATGTGTATAAACTCAATTACCATCATTTACCATCTATGGTGTATGAATTTAATAGCACGTTTATTGGGGCTTATGATAATAGATGATAAGCAGCATTGAAAGCGTTTTAATCAACTATTTGAATTTTAGATTCACTATTTTCGTGCTGTTTATAATTTTTCCAGGATGGTCTAGATGGTGTTTTCTCCATATTCCCTGGTTTCCAACAACTTGTAACATCTTTTTTAATTTTTTCGTCTCTGTCTACAAAACATTGAAATCAAAAACCACACATTCATAAATCATAAGAAAACTGTTTGTTTTCATAATTACCCACGATTCTTTCCATTGAACAGCTGAGTTCAATTCGCATTTTCCCAGGCCGCCACTGAGGTCTTCGTTGAGCTGCGCACCGCACGTCCAGTGATGACCTGTGAGGGCGGCGAGTTCCCACGCCTCAGCGGTGGCGGGGGCATCAACCTTCGGCAGACAGGTGGGGCTCCATGGCCGCCCAGTCTTCACCACGGTTGTTTCAAAACGTTTCAATACTATGGTTATTGATGACGGGGCACCTATGACTGGACGGAAAACTCCATATAATATATTAATATGTCGCATATGTTGACTACATGTATCTACATCAAAAGAGTTTAAGCATGTCAAAAGTGGAAAATATCATTGACAAGATCATTTGGATAGTCTTTTACTTTTCTATGGGGTAGCATTCCACTTTTGGCCCCTGCTCGTAATATGATTTTGTAATTTGCTAGTTGCCCCGACTTGGTAAGGTATATTACGGTATATGTCATGTATCTTCCAATATGTTCCAATACGGGTAATCCTACAATTTTCTGATTTAAAAAAAACCTACAATAGATATTTATCGTCAAAAAAGGATCCCAAAAGGTCAGCTATTCCCATTTTTGTTTGCTTCGCCGGCGCCAGGTTTCATGGGCGACTTGGGGCCGGAGTTTGCCTTTAGCGCCACACTGCAATTCGAGCAACCCATCGCACCCAGTGCCGTGGTATGGCAGTGTTATGGCAATAAAACACCATGTTTTCCCCTGAAAAGTGGTGGTTTTACAACCCAAGAAATGAGGGTGTCACCATGTGTCACGATCAAACATGGTTGATTGAAATGATGATATATATATATATACACAATATATGGAACATATATTCTTTTTATATATATATATTCCAAATATAACTACATAGAATATGCAAATTGAGATGAATAGATCCAATACTACACCATATGTTCTATATTTTCTAGATTGGTATTTACATGTATTATATAGTATATAAAAAGGGCGATGAGATCATTTCAGGATTTGTTTTCTGAAGTTTGTTGTTTGTTTGCATTTTTTGGGTGGCGTCTTCTGAAAATCAGGGGATTTGCTGCTAGGGTAGCCGGGTAGCCCTCTAAAATGACACACCAGTGAAAAGAATGAGACACGAGCCCGTGATGGATGGTCAACATGGGCACATAGCCTCACAAAATTCGCAAAATGGGTTGTCCCCATTTTCTCCGTTCATTGAAGTATCCAACCAGAAGCACATTTGGCACCGGAATCCCAAATGATCCCAAGGGTCAACGGTCTGGCTGCAGAGGCTTGATCTTCCAATTCTGCAACGACGGGCAGCGCGACCGGATCTATGCCGAAGCAGGCGGTCCGGAGCAGATGGGCAGCATCCGCTTTGGCGCACAGGCCGTGCACCGTGTTGAGTCGATGATTAAGTCGATGGTTTAAACATGTCAAATATGTTATCTGCAGGTTTTGAGGGATTTTGAGGGACATGTTGAATCCTGCTGACAGCTGGTGACAACGCACTTTAAAACACGGAAGACAACTTGGACTTACAGCGTTCAGCATATTTATAACCAATAAGTCAATAAGATCAATAAACCAAAAATCGCATAACTCAAGGGAAATGGGCATCAAAGAAACATGCTGAGAATGCTCTGAATAAGGGTCGTTGTCGTAAATCGTAAACCGTGCTCTTTCCATTCCCTGCCGACATTTGCCGACAGGTCGGCACCCAGAGCCACAGTTTTTTGGTGGCCGCTCGACTGCTGGGATGGGCTTCCCAGCTCTTTTCATAATGAGTGAGCTGGTTTTACTGACCTTTACTGACCATTAGCCCAGCTTCAAGCTGATTTATATAGCTGATTGCACCATTCACCATATTGCTTCAAACTACTTCACCAGAAATCAAAGAAGAACCCCACACCTATGGTAGGGGGCATAATCGGCCGGATTTGGTGGTTAACCATCCACATGGTTTGGGGATTGGATTGAGGGTTTTTCATGGATTTTTCAGAATTTGTTGAAATGTCCCATCATTTTTTCAGAATTTGTTGAAATGTCCCATCATTTTTGTATAGAACAACACCCTAAACCAATAATGATCATTCCTGAAGAAAAGAAAAACAATTTTGGTTGAATCCCACCCCCGAACCAAACGAATGGGCGTCGAAGAAGCCTTCTGCGGCGCAGGAAGAGTGTTGGGACCCCACGGAGCGGCAAGCACACTCCTTTCTCTTTACAGTCAGTGCAGCAGCTCCGAAGCACGTGGCATGAACATCCAAAATTGGTGGTTAAACCTAGGAAGGGGACGCTTGACATCAAAGTAAGGATACTTATTATATATAGTGGGTGACCAGCAGATAGAATTGTTTTTTCCTCATTTTTGCCGTGGAGAATCTGCGAATTCTAAGTGCTAGAAAAAATCGGCTTAGAATCGTTTTATACGCATTTCTAGCACATAGTTTTTTTTGCACATAGAATTGTTTTTGCTATATATATATATTTATATATTTTGTATATGTTCATGTTGTATATATTGGCGGGGAAAAACAGATTAGGAGCGAAGCACTGAGCCAGGGGGAACCAATATATGTATAAATGGGGCTACCCCAAAATGGATGGTTTACAGTGGAAAATCCTTTAAAAAATGGATGGTACCACTAGGAGCTGATACAATTCTAAATGCATGGTTATGATATGGCCTTCTAATTCTTAGTGCATTCTTATAATATCACTGCCGGCAATTCTTAGTGCACCCACAGCAATTCTTACTGCACCCCCCAGGTATCACTGGGAAGTAATTCTAAGTGGTTGTCACACTGATTTACGAATTCTAACTGCTAAACTGTTACTATAGTATGTTATTGAAATTAAGCGTGAGAGATGCGGGCTCTTACAATCATGAAGAACTGAGTTGCATGCGTGTGACAAATGGGCATGCAGCCAAGAAAGTCAGCACCTGGGTCACCCATGACAAGGATGATTTATCACAAATAATGAGCAGCTACGGGTGGCGCCAGTAGCTCAACAACCCTGGAATTGGTGAAAAGTGAAAACCCGCAACATCCTACCCTCAGGTAATTTCACACAGCTATGGAAACTAAATGAACATCACCATTGTCAACTGTTAGTAGAAGAATCATTTGTAAGCGGGCCATCTATACCATAGCTATGTTCAATTACCAGGGGTATCTTCAATCATCTTTAATCGATATTATTCGATATTTGGAGCTAGCCATATATTAATCATGTTTAATCATCTTTAATATACCAATATTAACCATATATGTGGTTCTATTTGCAATCGCTGAACTTCCCAGTTTTTGTGCTAGGTGGGCATGTGCAATGTCTTCCGTGACGGCGAATTGTCACTTGGCGGCATGGGAAGTGGGCCAGGGACGGCCCAACAGGGACCAATGCAAGAATTTACTGCAGATGATATACTGTACATATTATACCCTCTGGTAAATTAACATAGACCCGGAAAATAGCATGTTGATACATTTTGTTTAGTAGGAACTAATTTTCCTAACCCCATCTGTCAGGGTCTATGTTAATTTATGTCAATTTACTGGAGGGTATATGATTATATTATATGTGATCATGTTTAAAAGATGCATATATCTATGTGCATGTTGGTTTATGTCCATCTAACATTTGAAACCGTACCACAACTGGAATGAACTGACATGTCCAATAAACTTGAAGCTAGTAACGGTACCTCTGAGCCTTGAGAAGTGATCTTGAACTCGTGAGGCTACCTGGCTAGCTTGAAAATGTTTGTTTTCAGACAATTTTCCTCCGAAAAACATCCATCAGTCATCAGTCCTTACTTTTCGTCCCAAAAATGTCACAAATATAATTTTCGAATATGTTTAAACTCGGAACTCGGATTTTTTTTCGGACTCAGAGATTTCGAGGATTTCCTTCGCCAGGATCGGTCGCTCCTATGGCTTTGCGCCCAGCACGTGCTCACGAAAGCATCTCTATGTGGGGCACCTTGCTGCAAGTCCAGCTGGATCCATGGAACTGGGCAGTTTCGAAGATTTCCAACTGTGAAAGTCACGTGTGCTATGAAAGTAGAGTAATGATATTAATATGTACCATGTATAATGGTACTGATATGTAATGATCATCATCAAATTCATAGTTTATGAATGTCTACCTATAATTGCTATAGGCTATAGTTATGGTAATATTGATTTAGATCCATTTAAATCCAGGTTTGGGTTTGAAGATAGGTCTAGAAAGATTGTGAGCATATTCGGTGCAGCTGGGTCAGCGGCCTGTCATTGGGCTGATGGATGCTGGAACATCGATGCTTGTTTGCGTCACTCCCAGCCGCCGGGAAGATGTTTTAAACAACAACACATAGATTTTGATAAACTTACAGCTGCTTCTGAAGGTTGGATTTACCATATTTTACCATCTCGTAAGGTGACACCAAATGAAAAGCTTGGAAGATAATGGAAGTGTTTACCGACTTTGCTGCTGAACATTGCCACGTGCTGTGCTCATTTGACTTTACCAACCAGTTGGACTCGCGGACTCGGGTTCTTTGTGCCCGTTTGCAATGGTCACATCTCCAATCTTGTTGGTAGACTCCGAATTTCAGCGACTCCAAATACGCAAACATGGATTTAATATGAGATAAATATATGTATATGTTATTCTTAAGACTTAAGATACTAGTCTACATATCTATCTTTGGATATATGATTATTTAATATTATTTATGAGTGATTAAATTTATATTCTCACATATATCCACATATAACAGTGATGGATGATTCATCCCACCAAGGCAAGGGCACGGAACCAAGCTGTTCTCCGCTTTTAGAGGTGTGGACATGGGGGTAGCAGGGATACATGGGAAGTAGGGAGAATACTTCAAAACATAGTCCAACTAAGAGTTGATATTTTAAATTGAGATGTTAATGGTGTTAATGGTCACCATTTAATATAAGTATAACCCGTCGTTCGTTATGCCATTTGTAAGGTTGACGATAATCTGATTGAATAGTTTAATGAGATGATTTCATGCGATCAATGAAACTCAGATGATACAGCGGAAGTTGCTGCTTCAGCATGGTTGTTAATCATGGAACGTTGCATTTAACAATTCATCAAGAAAAGTGGGGTGATGCATGGGCCGGAAAATCCACCATTGAATTCGATGATTTCCCCATAACTGCTTGGTGGTTTCAAACATGGCTTTTATTTTCCATTTCATATATGGGATAATCCTTCATTGACTCATATTTTTCAGAGGAGTAGGTATACCACCAAAACCACCACCCAGATAACATGTCCATTTAGGACTTGGACATTTCCCGGCTAGCCATGTTTGATGACAAATAAAAAAGGTAAGCCTTAAGCGCTGGCATATTTCCTTAGTCGGCTTTTTGTACGCCGGCCGACTAAGGGCGTTCAGTGATTGAACTCATGCAGCAAGGGGTTGTTGAAATGGTTCAGTGTCAAAGGCCCAGGTATCCTGTGATCTTCCATGAACATCCTGCAATATCCAACAGAAGGATCAGAGTTCCAAACAAGATGAACAAGACATATTTATACAGTATATTATATATATATACATAAATGTTATTCATTCATACTTATCCATCTAGTTAAACTATGTTAAACTGTTTTCCCTATGGGTACTACTGGTACACCTGATTCTCTCGGCTCCAAAAAGCGTCGGTGAAATCATCAGGGCGCATTCAGAAGATCAAGGTCTGGGATCAAGAGCCTTGACTCAACGGCGGAATGGGTGCCTTTCTTGGTATGGGCCATGGTCTGGCCAGAATAGCATAGAATATCATAGAATATCTATATAATTAGTGTATATAGTGTGTGTGCCGAAGAACATCCATATAGATCGATATAGTTGGTTTCAAAGATGCTGTTGGTTTCAAAGATGCTCTGTGTTCAAGCCTATAATGGGATGGTGATCCGACATTCATATGGTGCGGATTGAAACCACCAAGCACATATCATTCAGGAATTTTGTGGTGGACCCTGACCCAAGAAACCTAGGGGGCAGAACCGATTCAGGGTGGTTCCACACCATTTTTGGGACATGCTGGGCTTGTTTATTGGATGGACACAGATGGACCATGCTGGCATCCCGTTGATGAATATGGCAAAATCCCTGTAAATGGAGCTTTGAATCGGAACATCACTGAACTAAATGGTGTTTTTTCCAGCAAGTCAATTTTGCTTACCAGGCTTACCAGAGGGTAACGGAAAAACATGAATATCGGATTCTGATCCAGACATCATGGAAGTTTGTGTTCACCAGTTGTAGTATGTTATAGTATGTTATAGTCATCCAAACAAAAAGATAGAAAAGTAAATCCCAATGTAAATCCCCAAATCATATTTTTCGATTTTGGGCGGATGACTGGATGACAAAAAAGTCTTGGGATCTGGCAGAAATTCACAGCACCATGGATCCGATGGCGCCCAGGAAGTGGATCCGATGGCCACTGACATGGCGTACAGCCATGCGCCTCGACGCGGACTGCGAAGGTGCGAAGGTGCTACGCTTTCGCGACATGGAAAGCGTGGCCCATTGAGTGAGAAATAGCTATGAAAAATGGGCCTTTTACAGATGATTTACTGTTAAAAATGGATAAACATGATGATTTTCCATAGCGAATTGTTTAATTACAATAAAGATCCAGATGGTATAAATCCCTAGGAAACATGGTGATTTTTCTGCAGCGAATTGTTGAAACTCCGGAGGATAGTCATGGTTTGTGAATCTTTGATATTAGTAAGTGGCTTCACTAAGAAAATCTAGATTTCACAAGTCCCTAGGGTTATCCCATTCATGTGTTTATTGGCTGTGACGCGTTGACCATGAAACATAAGTCGGGAATCCAACATATAATATTTAGAGCCAACCATAGCCAACCATAGCTAACCGGTAATCTTGTCAGGCTTAAGGGACCCCAGGTTTTTGCCAAGTTTTTGCCGCGTTTTGCCGCGTCACCTGTGGGCAAGTGTCAGATGTATACATATCCGCAGATGTACACTATTGCAACCTGTATAGCATTGTAAAAAAACCATCTTCTAAAGCTTCGTATGCAGACGTAGCTCTACTTCCAAATCACCTGAATTGCCATCACTGGACGATCAAGGCGCAGGGATGTAGGCTGCGGAGGTCCGAACAATCAGTGTAGAAATTTTCGATATCTCAATGCGGAAATGGGAAGGATCTTTTTGTCCGTTTCCTGCGCCATGTGGTGATTTAGTGACTTCTCAATAGCCATCCCATCCCATTTTTGGTGGCGATCCAGGCATCCTGGCTCGCCCCTGCCCGAGGAAGTGGGAAACGCACACCAAACCATCGCCCAATGGTACAAGAATGAGATGGACGTCTATTCCTTTGGCAGTCACTGGATCGATGATGGGACGACCGGCACTGCTGAGTTTAATGTTTAATTTCTGTAGTTGGAGCTTGACACATCTTGACATTTCAATGCTTCCCTGGCACTTCCCGGGCTCCAAGTCACACCTTGGCCGTAACATTGCACACTCTTTTGGAATCTTAGGCTTGGATGATCCCTTAAGGGAGGATTCTGGATTGATCATTTAGTAGCAGGTATGTACAGTAAGGGGGCGTATATGTATGTGTATATATATATACAATTATTCATTCATATATATATATATATATATGCAGATCGTTTCATATATATATGTGTGTGTGTATATGTGTGCGTATCCATTTTATATATATATATATCCGAGTAAACTGCCAGTTATTGTTTGCGTTTTTGTTCGGCAACAACCCTGTTTCCTCACCGGTTGCAAATTGGAATCATTGTGTAAATCCGCTCTTTGTGTCCATTTGGTATTCTTTCTTCTTCATATATCAATAAATAAATAATAATATATATATATGTATAGATATATATATATATATGTATAGATATATATATATGTATATATATATATGTATATATCATGCTTGGTAAAATCTGGTTATCAAGTTGGATATACCCACTTATCTACAATATACATGCACACATACAATATGTTTATATCTATAGATATGTCTCAATATGTCTCAATATTTTATCTCAAAAACCCGCATGTTTTTTTGACCAAAACAATCTGGGAAAGATGTTTCCATAGATCAAAAAGCATATGTACATTCAAATCATTATATATATATATATCATTCATACTTTCAGGCTGTATATATATATATACATCATTATATATCTATTTAAAATTTCTGTGATATCCCCCACATCCCAGAACGGCCTTGATCTGAGGCCTGGCCGCCTACGCCGCGGCCTGCCAGAAGGACGAGCGCTTCGCAGCGGATTTGCTGCTGAAAATCGATGTGCACGATGAGTTGGATGGTGCCTGGCATGGGGAGATCATGGGGAGATGCCAGCATGGTTATTTAACATAGCCATGGAAAATTACCATGTTTAATAGGTAAACCATCTATAAATGGGCGATTTTCCATGGCTATGTTAAATAACCAGAGGGTATTTGGAAAAATCATACTCACTATTCCAAAATATTCCAAATATGTGGGCATTAACTAATTACATAAACATAATAACACATTTACATATATATATGGTTATTAATAGTGTGTTTCTTAATATTTACCTGATGTGGGTAAACAATGCCATAAACCATCCCCCAAATCCCCAAATCACCAGCTTGATAGGTGGTATAAACCATTCCCAAATGAGTGGTTTTTTGTTGTTCTACCCACGTTATATAGTTCTGTTGTTTGTTTTTAGAAGGCACCATCTACAATTGTTTTTTAATATATACACATGCACCCAAATTATCCACATTAACTATGACTTAGCATTGAAACCCATTTGACATGTATGTATATACATATGCGTGTATATATATAGAGAGAGATAGAGAGACAGAGAGAGGATTGGGATACTTATTCATAGTGGTATGTTATCAATAGTTATGCTTATTGTTGATAGAACGCACCATTTATACATGCATATGTGACTGTGTGTATAGGAAAAATGGTGATTAGTTTGGGGTAAAATGTCACTGGATGCATTTACGTGGGATAGTAGACAGGCCTGCTATAGAGACAACGCCAGACATTCCCTGCTCAAGCGGGATAGTTATTTATAGGGGTATTTTATCAGTAGTCGTTATGTTTCATGGTTTTTGAGATATCCTCAAATATGAGGGATAGTTATCCTCAAAATTGATCATTACATATTATGACGTTATCAGGTGATAGGTTATTAGTGCTGCTATGTATGCTTATGGGGGCATATTGGGAAATATGAAACCAGCAATATGACAAGCAACCAGCAATACCGATCCAGCTTCTGAGTCGGGAAGTCATGGAAGGCCCTTGAGAGCTGGAACCATGAGGAGTTCAGAGTTATTTTATGATCCGATTATTAAGGAGGGATATGTCCTCTGGTAAAAAGTAACAAGGAATAACAAACTTATATATGGAGATGAAGAAACACTAGAAGGACTGGAGAGCACATCATTCATGGATGTTGCTTGTCCATTATGTTATTATCGTATGTACTGTACATCTGATTTATATGTATTTATACTTCATATACGCGTACATGTGTGTATTAATTCGATAACTATACCCCGAAGATGGAGCCCAGCTAGAGCCATGCTACGCTGCATATTGCATCCAAGAGTCTGGCAAGGAGGATTCTTGAATTAAGTAGCAAATGATTTCCATTTAATCATTTTCGATCCACAGAAGTAGGAATCCCAAAGAAACAGACCTGTTTTCACCTAAGCGTAACGCAAAATTACTGGTGCTAAACTTAGGGGATAAGGGGAGTGATCTACAATATTCCCCCCCTTATTATTGTTCATTATAGATCATTCCATTGAGTTATATATGACTATATAGATCTATTGTTCATATAGTAACAATGAGTGATCTATATATATATATATATGAAGAATCATCCCAATCCCCCCATTCCCACGGCAGGCTATGATGATTTCGTGTGCAAGGCCCTGGACGGCAATGGCAGCTGGGTGGCAATGGGAAAATCATGGGGAAAATCATGGGAAAATCATGGGAAAACACCAAGAAAAACATGAAACAAACCTTGTAAATGGAGGTTTGTAGTTGGAAAAGATAGTCTGTAAATGAGAAAATCATCCATCTATGGGCCATGATTCCAAAAAATAGCGGACAAATGATGGAACGTTATATGTTCATTGCCATGGATTGCCAGAGGGTAACATAGAAATACAGAGCGGACAACCCTTGCAGAAGTGACTCTTGAAGTGTTACTGGGCAGCTCGTCTCTGTCACTGCTCCCAACATCCCGCATGAAATGTACGATCTAAACCCCTGGTTTGTCTCATTGAGTAGCGTCGATTTTACTCGTGTAGATAGGTAGGCAGGTAGGTAGATAGGTAGATAGGTCGATAGTCATTTGCACCCATGTTCGTTCATGTTTTTGTCATGTACATATTGGGCACATATCATTGGTAAATAGCATTTCTCTATTGTTCATCTATCATCTATGAGATTTCATGTTTGTACATCATTTAAAGCAGTATATCTACATCATGTATTTGTCATCATTACCATTTACTACACCCGTTATATATCATGTATTGTTTCAATAGTGTTTATTAGTGTATTGTTATGTTATCATTGCTATTCCACTTATTTTCCACTTTTTACCAGACTTGACTCTTGCTACTTTAAAAACTGCATGTCTATATATATATGTATACATATCAGATAGCTCATTCCCACTTTCAATAGTTTTATGGTGTTATTACTATGATTATTGTTCTTATTATTGTCATTAGTATCCCTACTTTATGAATACCGTTATCTATACTATTACCCTCATTACTGTTTTGGTTTACAATTATCATCTGTTTCCACGTTTATTCTCATGTAGTATTATATAATCTTATTTTACCAGTAGTAAGTAGCACTTTTATATACTATTATCATTAAAAACTCACTAAGCCGTTAGTAAGCCGTTACGATCATTAAAAGCCCCCCCGGCTGTTGAGCCTCGACCCTGACACCGAGGTTTGGCCTTGACTTTGGGTGGTCCGGGCAAGAGCTGGCGTCGCTCGGGGACGGGATGGCTGCCAGTGTCTGGGCAGCGGAAAAATGGATATATGAAGTAATCCATTGGTAACCCGATAGTTTGATGATATTGCTATGCTAGTGGCCTGGGTTGATATACTTTTGCTATCTATTTTGGGGGCTGGTATAGCTAGAAAGATATATTATATGACTGTGTTTTTCAGATGGTTATCGTCTTGGGACATTTTATATGTAATTTTCGCAGGATGGGTTGTGTTTCATTGCCTCGCTATTTCCCATTGTTTCCTGCGGAGATTGATCCAATAAGAGTCCTGATTTTACAATGCTGTAGGCCAACAATGTGGAGAAGCCACCGTGGATCATTTTCCGAACGGGAAACCGTTGGTTTTTGCAGATCTATGTTTGTTTACCTGTTTACCCTTGAGTCTTCTCGAGGTGCAAAATCACTGACCACTGACTGGTGTCATCCCAAGCATGCTGCACATGAGAAATGCCCCATCAATGCTCCACATACGCAGTATAATCCCACACTTGTATAAGACACAATGTCAACTCTGGATTTACAAACCCTGGTTAATCAGGGGACGCACCCCCAAAGAGTGCTGATTTGCTACTTAAATGGCCCCCGTAGTTACGTGGTCTAAGAGTTTATTTTATAATCCGATGTTGATATAATATGATATCATGTGATATGATATTAGTGTATAATGTGATATTGGTGCTTGATAATTTTACACACCATATCCGGCTACATGAAATAACATATGGAGAGATATATCGAAGTATTTGATATTCCATCACAATATGGGAAAATAATGAAAAACATGCATAATAATATCACAATAATGATATTGGTGTATTATTGCTGTTCAATAGAGGTGAATATCTCATAAAACATACATAAGATCACCATCATAAGAATGGAATATTAATATGGACCATGAAATAGAAAGACAGACAGACAGACAGATAGATAGATAGATAGATTGGATAGAAACCCTACATGAGACATGTTTTCCAATGTTTTTCCAATGTTTTCCAATGTTTTTCCAATGTTTTTTCCAATGTTTTTCCAATATATTCAATCAACAATGGTGGTGTTTTGGCTTCATCGCCCACTAAGGTAGACATGAAGTGTCCGGTGTTGGACTCGGCAGAGGAGAAAGTCCTGGCGCCCTTGACGAACCGGGGAAACGGGCACGGGGCGTCGGTGGGAATACAGAGAAATGGTGGTGTACTGGTTGGTGGTTTGGAACATTTTTTCCCATATATTGGGAATAATAACCCCAACTGACTAATATTTTTCAGAGGGGTTGAAACCACCAACCAGCGTACCCCAAAATGGATGTGCTATTTCATGGAAAATCCGAACAAATGATGATTTGGGGGTACCCCAATTTTTTGGAAACCTCCAAGTGGTGGTTATACCATCCTGGAAGTCATCTTTGATCCCTCTAAAATGGATGGTTTACGTATATGTTAACTTGTTATTTTATGGGTCAACACCTTTAAAACTTTGAAAAACAAAGGTTGTTTGGTCCAGGATGGTTTAGCCAACATTAATCGACACAATGGGGATACAACTAGGAATCTTATGGAAAACCGTTGATGCTGTTGCATATCGAACGAAAATGGGGCTACTACTGGATACACCCCATGATCTCCCTGTTCATCGAAAGAAATCTCCCCCATTGGCTGATTTCACACCCCTCAATCCAATCCCAAGCCCAAAAATGCCCCCATGGTTTATGTTAGGCACAAGTCATGGATAGTGGCGTGGCCCAGTGGCGTCCTCAGGTGCCTTGGGCCTTCCTGGGCTCCTTCCCCGGCGCTGCGGCGAACGCCTTCTTCGCGTCCTCCGAATTTTTGGGCCGCGCCGAGGGCTCCGAGCCGCGCCGCACGGCGAAAGAACGGCGGCCAAGGCGCTATGGACGAGGCTGGTGGGGTTGGGGTCCCAGGTGAGTTAACCACCTGGTAACCTGTCCATAAACCATAGATATAACATAGATACATGGGAAAATCTAGAGAAACTGATCTACAAATGATGGGAGGACGCTCACGTTTGTACATTTTATTGGTTGTTAAACCAACTTATATATGAGATAAACCCCGTTATGGACCATTTGCTGTTGCTAACTAGGATGCACCACCAAGCAACCATGTAATTAATCCCAGAGTAATCCCCATTATCATGTCGGTATATGTTAATATCATCCGTTTTTGTTGGCTTAAAATAATGGTCAAACCCAGTCTCTCCACACCGCAAAAACCCATAATGCTTGAGCTTGAACAGGTTTGAGACATATTCCGCCAATGTCTCCATCATTTCATTCAGTTCCGTGGTGTTGGGGGCCTGGTTTGGCATTGTGGGCGTGGGCGTACCCCATCACCTTAGGGCGTCCGGTAGGCCAGCGCCGTGGTCGTTCGGAGCGTTCGCGGCGGGGTCGCACGACAGCGAGGGAAGGACGATGGTATGGCATGACGGAATCTCGGCAGATTGTTCCAGATGTTTCAGGAAAGTTGAGGATTCAATCGTCGAAATTTGGATTGAAACTCCGGAAAAAAACACAAATCACAAGTTCAATGGCTTGGTTTTCCGGGGAAAATGTTAAGTGTGTAAACAATTTGTTTACACGTTTTCCAATTTTCCCTTCGACCAACTGTGAGAATGAGGAAAGGTTGGGATTTTAAAAGGGAAGTTAGGATGGATAATTTTGTTTCTTGATTGATCTTAAGAACGCAGCTTGCTGGTGGTTGATTTTCATTTTCCAGATTCAAAGATTACTCTTTCAGTATTTGTTGAAGGCAAAATCTGCAGGAAACCCTTCTGGTTTCCTGCAGATTTTCTCTCAATCCATTGAACTCGTGACGCATGACGATGTTTGAAGATGTTTGATATTTTTTTTTTGCGGATTACATCCTCATTTTTGTTGAACAATCATTAAGAAGCGTGGCAAATTGGGAAAGAAATTGAGATTGCTCATGATTGTTACCATCATGAACAATCTCAATTTCCCAATTTGCCACGGGGGCATCAGGTGACCACAGCCCTTCGCCTAGGACGAAGCCCTGGCACCGTCCTTGGCGAGCGGCGACGTCTCGACGCTGGAGGAGTTGTTGGAGGAGGTGGATCTAATGGCGCCGGTCGTGCCTTGATCGCAATGGCACTATAAAAATGGGTGGATTTCAAGCAGGGAATGGTCAAAAAAGAATGGTTGATAGATGTTGGTAGGTGGTTATAGGTGGTTTTTTTGTGTACTGCTGAAATGATGACTGAAAATCATACTGGCGAATGATGTTGGACAATGGCTGGTAATGGTAAATAAATATCAATCATAGGTGAAACCTATGAGTATACCTCTTGTACATCAGCTCCGTGGCTGGGAAATCCCCGTGGCCGATTCGTCCAGCGACGTTTGTTTTCCATTACTGTAAGTTTTCCAATTACATGTGAAACCGGCCAGGGTCAAGTTTTTTTTCACCGAAAAAAACGTTGATTCAACCAAGCAAAAATCGTGACTTGTAGAGACACAACCCCCCCAAAAAAAAACTTGGATTTTGAAGCACAGCCACCATGGATCGGAAATGGTGGGATAACCCCACAGTTTTCACTCCAATTCCTCGGTGTTTTCCCAGGAGACCGAAATCGGTTCCAATCTGTTGTCCCAACTGGAAGCCATGGAGCGATGTGAAGAGGACCCAGCGGCGTGAACTGTTGTCCGATGAGGAAAGGAGCAAAATGGTTGGAAAATGTGGGGAAATCAGCCAAACATCATTAGATATAGTTCAAGTTGTACTATACTTTGAATTGTTTTTTATTGTTTGATTTTTGGAAAGCATGGAAGGAAACCATAGTTTTTCCGTCGAGCTAAGGGCGAAGAGAAGCTGAATTTGGCGTCTCAGTAGCTCAGAGGCTCAGATGATATCAAGGTATGGATTCCAACAGATGGCGTCAAGTGTCCGCATGACTTTACTCCAGGCCACGTTAGGGTTTCATGATTCTCCTCAATCCCCTTTTTCTTGTTGGTTGGAAACATCCGCCATCAACAACAAAATCTTAATGAATATCAATATCAATTGTAGATTAGATGTTGGATCCATTTAAACCCATCTATCCCATTTGTTGGATATATATTTATATCATGTGCCATCAATTCCATTATTAATTGCGATGTTTCATCCCTCCCCCTCTACTCACTATATGTTGATTCATGTGATAAACCCAAATAACCCCCGTCCCCAAAATCACCACAAATGGGTGGATAATGGGTGGTAAAACCAATGGATAGGTCACGTTCCGCAGGACGAAGAAGACGAACTTCCAGGGTTGGTGATCTATGGCCGGTAGCGAGAACGTATGCGGCGCTCACCGTGGGTAAATGGGAAGCTTTTAAGCGGAAACCATGGGATTTTTACATGTTGCATGTTTAACCATCAAAAATGGCAAAGATGATGTATAGATGAAGCAGATACTGGTCAAGATAGACCCGTTGTATTGGTTTTTGTTGCAAATCTGCAGTGACAGTGACAGTGCCTCTTCAGTCCTTCATTTCGTGTTTTCTTATCGAATTCAGGATGCAAGAACCAACAGAAAAATCCCTGGACACAGCAGCGCCGTCTCTATTGTCTTCCCGTTACGTTTCACACGTATGGCGCATCGGTGCGATGTGGAGTGGATTTCCAGGGATGGCACTGGCCCAAGTAACTATGGATATTAATGGTGGATGAATGGTGGATGACTGGATCACTATGCTATAGATCACTATGTTATAGATCACTTATAGATCACTATAGATCACTTGTAGATCACTATAGATCACTTATAGATCACTATAGATCACTATAGATCCATAGATCACTATAGATCCATTTTCTTTCCACTCCATCTTTATCGCACTAAAGTCTCCGAGTTTGCTATTGCGATTGCTGCAAAGTGACGCTGGGCGATTTTTTTGATTTTATTTTATCTCAACCAGATCATGCCAAGTGGGACTGGTTGCCACAGTACTTTCTGGGGGCACCATTGGACCATAGTTAGCCAGTTATTGGTTTAAAAGTCCAATAACCATGGTTTATAGGTGATATATCATATCATGATATATCTATAATTAATGGGATTGCAAATCATCCTAATTTTTATTGGATGTTCCATTGAATAAACCATCCAGCTATTGGGATACCCCCATTTTCGGAAACCTCCATATGTTTTTGGGGATGACTTTCATTGTTCATCCTACATGGGATGATGTCACACTAATGTTGGCGAAGAAAAATAACCTTCCCCAATTGTACCATGGGTGGTATAAACCATAAGAATATGGTACTATGGGTGGTTTATATTGTTCTTTACTATAACATTAAATCAAAATTCTGCCATGGTTTAAATCATGGATTTTCGTATGTTGCCCCACAGCGAAACACTATGGAATTTCCCTGCAAAGTTCACCGCCCCACGCAGGGGACGTTGTGGCTACCTGGCGCGGAGCCGTGGAGACATCCATCCAGACGGTGAAGAGAGAAGTGGCCAAGATGCGTGGCGCGGGGTGGTTCTGGGTGGTTACTGAGTGGCCGATATTTTACATTTGGAAAACGAATGTAAGAAACAGTCCCCCACTTTACCAGATGAACAAAATCATGGGGCTATCGACCCACAATGTGACTACATATTTTTTGCACTTGTAAATGGGATTATGTTGGTGAACATGCGTGAAAATGGAGGAGGATGGTGGTGATGATGATGATGAGGAGGAGGAGCAGGATGATGATGATTGATTGATGGATGAGGATGATTACGTTTCTCGTCTCGATTGTTCCGATTCTGTCGATTCTTTGGGTTGTTTGGATTATTTAGGATTATTTGGATTGTTTGCGTTATTTAGGAAGATTTGGCGAGGTTTGGGTTGTTTCGAAATTTGGGGAGGTTTTGATATTTTCAGGGGGGATTATCATGTGGATATATAATTTGATTTGGCAAATGATTGGGAAGGTTTGGTTCTGGTTCATGGAGGGTATGTTTGAGTTTTTGGTGGGCCACATCTCCAAGATACCCTGCGGGCTGGAGTGAGGTATTTATTGCCACCCCTGGTAATCAAACACGGCAACCCGGCAATAATCGTTGAATTCCATTTAAGTCCATGTTTTTTTATTTCTAGATTACCCACTGGTAAACATACTAAAAACTATGGAAAATCACCATGTTCAATCGAAAAATCGTGGAAAATCCACTATTTCTATGGTCATTTTCAATAGCAACCTGTTAAATTGCCAGAGCTTTGAAATCATGACTAACCATTATTCACCAGTATCCACCATTATTAACCCAATAGGAACCCAATATGTTAGTCATTACCAGAGGGTATAGATCCAATTTTCAGGGGATGCTTCCCGCCAAGGAGAGGCGGACCTCCACCGGCCTGTCAAGTCTTAAGTCTCGAGGCGCGGGCGCGGAGCTGGAAATGATGGTGAACAACATTGTCTAACCCTTCAATTGAACATCGAAAATATATGTAATATATCTGCTTGGTGGTCTCAAATATTTTTTATTTTCCATAATACATGGGATAATCCATGTTCACCACATCGGTAGATACCCTCTGGTAATGACTGACATAGCTATTGAACATTGCCATAGAAAGTTCGTGAGTTTTCCCAGCTACAATAGCATGGTGATTTTCCAGTTCGCTACGTGGCTGTTTACCAGAGGGCAACCCTTCAACTGAACATCGAAAATGTATGAAAATGTATGTGTTACATGAACAGATCCATAAACTCCAAGCAGTTGAAACAAATATGAAACATGAAGCATTTGGAATTCGAGTAGATCGTTGAACAATCCGAAAACCACTGGATTCCCATGGGTTTCCGCCAGGAAAATCACTTGAAGGATGAGGAAACCTTTCGAGATTTGAAGTGCACAGGACCCATTTTTTTGATGGTTCAATTCATGGATATGAGATGATATGTGTTATGGATTTGTTATGGTTTAATGGATACTGGATGATAATTATTATATATAGATGATATAGATGGGTAGATGGTTTATAGATGGTTTACAGGTGGTTTATAGATGGTTTATCGGTAACGATTAACTTGTTGTAGATGATACATAGATTACTTGCCCATATAAACACAAAAATCCTGAGTCAACCCAAAACCAAACTTAATACATTGCGTCCACATCTCCAAAGACATTCTGAGACTGTATTCGGGTTGGTTGTTGGGGCCAAAAGGGTCCGAACACCTTCCCTGATGGTGTTGGAGGGTATGAAAACAACCAACATCGTGCTGCAACCAACATAGTGCTGAATTGTTTGTAAATTGAAAAATTGTGTTAAATTTTAAGGGTGACGAAACCTACATCTTGTTTATCATCGAATTTCTTGTTCTGTCCATGTCCTCCATGCGTGATATGCCATGTGAAGGAGATCTGACTCTCACCCTGGTAACCACCGGTGCAGCTTGGCTGCAAGGCTTTCTGTGGGGAGGATGTAACTAACAAATATAGGGAACACGTTGTTGATAACCATCCAAAATTGGGGATTATACAGGGATAACCGGATACATAACCCTACAATATAGTGTATATATATATATACATTATACATATATATATATACATTATACATATAATTATATATATATACATTATACATATATATATATACATTATCGAAGGAAGTTTAGAAGTCAAACTTCCGACAATATGGAGAGATGAAAAGCAGAGCAGGGAAGAGGCATAGAGAAGAGAAAGATTAGAAGAAAGAAGATTAGAAGAGAAAGAGTAAGAAGACAGAAGATACAGATGCGCGAAAAGGTAGGAAAGTCGCGAAACACTGTGTTTTTCCAATGATTTGTGGCTCCGGAGGGTCGAAAAGTAGGCTCGCTAAAGCGGCGGGTGCGGAGCCAGCTGGCCAGAGGAGAGATGAAAAATTGCACGCCGTTGTGGCGCGAAGCACATTTCCAAGTCAAAATGTACAAAACACACAGCCTCGGACCACTTTTGGAAGTTGAGATGTCAAAAAGTGCACGCCGTTGTGGCGCGAAGCACATTTCCAAGTCAAAATGTACAAAACACCGCAGCTCCGGACCACTTTTGGAAGTTGCGATGTCGAAAAAGTGCACGCCGTTGTGGCGCGAAGCACATTTCCAAGTCAAAATGTACAAAACACACCAGGTCCGGACCACTTTTGGAAGTTGCGATGTCGAAAAAGTGCACGCCGTTGTGGCGCGAAGCACATTTCCAAGTCAAAATGTACAAAACACCTCAGCTCCGGACCACTTTTGGAAGTCGAGATGTTGAAAAAGTGCACGCCGTTGTGGCGCGAAGCACATTTCCAAGTCAAAATGTACAAAACACACCATTCTCGGACCACTTCTGGAAGTTGAGATGTCGAAAAAGTGCACGTCGTTGTGGCGCGAAGCACATTTCCAAGTCAAAAGTGTAAAAAACTGAGGGTTTTGAGCCTCTTTTGACGTTAAGATGTCGAAAAAGTAGACACTGATTAACTTAACTAACTTGACTAACTTAACTACACAGATAAATACCACTGCACTCCATTACACCATCTTCCACTACACTTCACTACATTACACTGCACTACCCTCCACTAAAATACAACTACACCTGCATCTCCACAACTACACTCCACTACACTACACTGCACTCAATGACACTCAATTACACTACATTGCAGACAGACAGACAGACAGACAGACAGACAGATAGATAGATAGATAGATAGACAGGTAGACAGCTAGACAGATAGACCGATGAAAGAGAGAGAGAGAGAGAGATAGATAGATAGATAGATAGACAGGTAGACAGCTAGACAGATAGACAGATGAAAGAGAGAGAGAGAGAGATAGGTAGATAGGTAGATAGGTAGATAGGTAGATAGGTAGATAGGTAGATAGGTAGATAGGTAATGAGATGAAAGAGAGAAAGAGAGAGATAGATAGCTAGATCAACAGATAGATAGATACATAGAAAATAGATGGGTAGGTAGGTAGATAGCCAGAGAAAGAGAGAGAAAGAGAGGAGACCTCAAGCACCTTCCGGTCCGTCAGTGGCTTCGCTCTGCCATCCCTGATTCACAACAACCAACCTCTCCTATAGGTTTCCTATTTTTGAAACTTCCGCCACCGCCTTGTGCGGTACTACTGGTACATATATATATATATAATGGTTGATATACTGGTTATCCCCACATCATCCTTATATATGGGGAGAATATCAGAGCCATCCCAAAGTTGGGGGTCAAGACCTTTCAATGGCAGGAGACGGTCCTTTCTGCGGGTAACATCAATAATCCCATCCCTTTAATACTAAACACCTCCCCTTAAGCTGGGCCCAAATATGTGGTTTGATTCCCTACATCCAACATGATTTCTTGGTCTTTCAGAGTTTCGGGCGATTTTTCCCATGATTTACCACGGGATCTTCGGTGCTAAGGGGCTGAACGTTTGGAAACTCATCAACACCTTGATGGACCCCAAAGGACGCTGAGATGCTGTGGGAAATTGGACCTTTTTTGGAGCATGGACATAGAAAGGTAAAGCGCATGCAAGAACATGCATAACTGGTTGGTGGTTTGGAACATTTGGATTATTTTTCCATATATTGGGAAGAATCAGCCCAACGGGTTGAAGCCACCAACCAGGTTATGTTTGCATTCTTAGGCATGAAGATATTGCTATCAATTGCTTGCCTAGGTATGTAATGTGTGATGTACACATATTCTTGTAGCTGTGACAGTACCCTTGGCATTGCAAGACGGTGGCATCAGGAGGGCCCGAATACCTTCAAGACATTGCAGAAGAGGACCAAACTCGCTGGCGGTGGACCATTTTGAAGTGACCATATCCCAAGTTGGTGCCCATCCTAAAGATTATAGAATGTCAACCCTGAATTTATTTTCACCCTCGGGCTGTTGCTCATGGGAGAATGCCGTCTTAGTATATAGTATTGCACATGACCCAGTTTTGCGGGCAACCCCCGAATGAACCAAAGTAATAGAACAGTCCTGGCTGGCACCCCAGAAATTGGATGGGATATCAAACTCCCGACCAAGATCGGTCCCGGTCCTGTCTTCGGCATTGCACGGTTTTAGAGTTTTGGGAGTCGATTTTGTGTGGCAGCTGTGTTTGTGATGTTTGTGTCCCGCTTGGGTTTGGGGACTATCGTTTGGATTTCAACATACTTTGTTGGTCACAGACTCAAATGTTACCAGCCGCCAAAACCGGAATGGATGGAAACACCTAGTGGCAGACATGGCATCATTTTGGGGGATCACTCCCCATGTTATCCAGATATTGATATTAACCAACATCTGGATGCATCTGGGTCAATTACTCTGTAATTTCCACATATTTCCACGATAATACAGAATTTCTTCCAACAATTTTTGGATATCTGGTATCCAAACAGAATTTCCAGTTAGTTTGATCCTTTCCCTCCCCAATCATTTCCAGTTTCGTAGGGAAATCGCCCATAGGACCTCAGGAGCCAGCTATGGGGAATGTGGACCGTATTCGATGGGATTACTCTTATTTCCAGTGAAAAGTCATGAATTTCCCAGTTAGATAAGTTAGGTATCTAAACAGATCTAAACAGGGCATTGTCCAGTTTAAAATTCTTCACCCTCTGGTTATTAAACATAACCATGGAAAATGGCCCCTTGGAAATCGATGATTTTCCCAGCTAGAATGTTCATTTATTTTTTGGTGATTTTCCAGTTCGCTATGTTAAAATAACATAATTAACCAGATGGATCAGATGGTAATTATAATGATGATACCGTGTATTAATGATTTAATGGTCATATTCTAACTAACAACTCAATAACCAGATGGTACCCTCTGGTAAACTAACATAACTATGGAAAAACACAATTTTCAATGGGAAAATCCACTATAAATAGCCATTTTCAATAGCTATGTTAAATTACCAGATGGTATGTTTTTTTTCCAGTGACTCACACATTGCCAACGAACCATCGCTGCGGCCTCGAAAGGATCTCCTTCGCCTTTGCGAGTTGTCATCGCGAGTCTTTCTGCCGCTTCAGCTGTAAAGATCCCAACCGGTGCTTCATCCGAGATAAGAACACCGAAAGATGGAAAAGAACAAGGTATCACTATTATGTCACTATTATGTAATATTACATCACTATTTTTTGTGGGAATTGTTCAACTTCTATCTTTCAAGGGGGGTACTTTTAGTGGCAGTTTTGATTTGAAACCCGCTCGGGACTGTCGGGCCGAACGGAAATCAATGTTCCAAAACGTGGTATAGAAGCCCTAAAAAGACGTTAAATAATAACAATGGATGGTTATATGGTTTTGAAGGATGGTTATCATTAAATGGTTTCCTAGGATGGTTATTAACCTAAGATCAAAATCAAACCCCAAGGGGTTGTCAATATGATCCGGATCAATGTGTTTAAATCTTGTTGGGAGCAACGTGTAACAGGCACCCTTCTTGAAGCCTGGCTTTTACAAAGGGAGGAATGGTTTTCATGATTTTCCACTGATGCTTGATTTCTGAGGGTACCAGCTAATTACTCGGACAAGTCAAACAACAAAAATAGACACCATTTTTGGGTCGCAGTTTCAGATGATATAAGTAGAATTAAGCATGTGTATATATATAAATATATATATTATATTATATATTTATATTTTACACACATATATATATATATACGCAATATATTACGACATATATACATACCTGGAAAACAATAAAGGCACCTTTTTGTCCGTACGGGTTTGGACATTTTTTTGTTCGTTACATTTTTCCCAAATACGGCCATGTCCTGCTGCAATCCCTCTACTTAAAGGTCATTAAAGGTCAATAGTTTTTCTGAAATCTTGGATTTGTCGGACTGGTTCGACAGTAAGAGCGTCTCGTCTAGAGGCAGAATTGGGGGCAGTATGTTGAAATATGGTTACTGTCACTGTTTTTTTCCCGAGAGCGTCTGAGCGCAGGGTTCTTCCAATAGTGGGGGTCTGTATCTCATCTTCTCATCTTCACACCTTCTCATCTTCACACCTTCTCTCACACCTTCTCATCTTCACATCTTCTGCTCATCTTCACATCTTCTCTCACACCTTCTCATCTTCACATCTGCTCATCTTCACATCTTCTCATCTTCACATCTTCTCATCTTCACACCTTCTCATCTTCACACCTTCTCATCTTCACATCTGCTCCTCTTCACATCCGTTCCTCTTCACACCTTCTCTCACACCTTCTCATCTTCACACCTTCTCTCACACCTTCTCATCTTCACATCTTCTCTCTCTCTCTCACTCTCTCTCCTCTTTCCTCTCTCCTTTCTCTCTCTCCTTTCTCTCTCCCTTTTCTCTCTCTCGCCTTCTTTATCTTTCTCTCTTTAGGCCGAGGGTGGTGCCGGCGGGGAGTCACGAAACGTGAACCCTTTCGCACGAAATGAGGGTCGATCGGCGAAAACTGAGGAAAAATTGCGAGTTTACTTGCCCCCGAGCAACCCTTTCGCACGAAATGAGGGTCGATCGGCGAAAACTGAAGAAAAATTGCGAGTTTACTTGCCCCCAAGCAACCCTTTCGCACGAAATGAGGGTCGATCGGTGAAAACTGGGGAAAAATTGCGAGTTTACTTGCCCCCAAGCACGATCGGCGAAAACTGAGGTAAAATTGCGATTTTACTTGTCCCCGAGCAACCCTTTCGCACGAAATGAGGGTCGATCGGCAAAAACTAAGGTAAAATTGCGAGTTTACTTGTGCCGGAGCAACCCTTTCGCACGAAATGAGGGTCGATCGGCCAAAACTGAGGTAAAATTGTGATTTTACTTGTCCTGGAGCAACCCTTTCGCACGAAATGAGGGTCGATCGGCGAACGCGGAGGTAAAATTGCGATTTTACTTGTCCCCGAGCAACGCTTTCGCACGAACTGAGGGTCGCTCGTCAAAAACTGAGGAAAAATTGCGATTTCACGTGTCTGTGTGTAAAAGCGTCCGTGTGTAAAAGTGTTAGTGTGTAAAAGCGTCTGTGTGTAAAAGCTTTTGTGTGTGTAAAAGCGTCTGTGTGTAAACGCGTCTGTGTGTGTAAAAGCGTCTGTGTGTAAAAGTGCTTGCGTGTAAAAGCGTCTGTGTGTAAAAGCGTTAGTGTGTAAAAGCGTCTGTGTGTAAAAGCTTTTGTGTGTAACTGTGTAAAAGCGTCTGTGTGTAAAAGCGTCTGTGTGTAAAAGCTTCTGCGTGTAAAAGCGTCTATGTGTAAAAGTGTTTGTCTGTAAAAGTGTTTGTATGTACAAGTGTTTGTGTGTAAAAGTGCCTGTGTGTCAAAGCGTCTATGTGTAAAAGCTTCTGTGTGACTGTGTGTAAAAGCTCCTGTGTGTAAAAGGCTCTTTGTTAAAAGTGTCTGTGTGTAAAAGTGTCTGTGTGTAAAAGCATCTGTGTAAAAGCGTATATCTGTGTAAAAGCGTATGTCTGTAAAAGCTTCTGTATGTAAAAGCTTCTGTGGGTAAAAGCTTTGTATGTAAAAGTGTCTGTGTAAAAGTGTCTGTGTGTAAAAGTGTCTGTGTGTAAAAGCGTCTGTGTAAAAGCGTCTGTATGTAAAAGCTTCTGTGGACAAAAGCTTTGTGTGTAAAAGGGTCTGTGCGTAAAAGGGTCTGTATGTAAAAGCGTCTGTGTGTAAAAGCTTTTGTGTGTAAAAGTGTTTGCGATGCAAACTATTGTCTTGCACTTCTGCTATTTTGTCTTAATACTCCTCTTCTCGACTGCATATAACACATCTTTAATATATTGTTTCTAATATGGTGTCTCCATACTAACAAGAGAAGACCCTGCTCCTCTACGCTCTCGGGCCATCCGTCGTCTAGTTTTAACAGGATGTTGGACAAATATTAGCATTTTAAGGTGCATCCAAAATTGGTAGCAAATATGGCAGCATTTGTGGCCAGATTTGGGTACACTATCACGACTCCCAATCTGCTCCATTTTGGGTTGAAATTACTCTTTAGGAGACTGTCGGAGGGTGTCGGCAAAGGATTTGGACAACCCCTCACAATCAAAAACCAAAATATGCAATTGAACCAAAAAACGTCCATTACGGGTAAAACTCATAATGGACAAAAACACTTGTCCGTACGATTTCCCAGGTATACATATATTATGATATGATATATACATATATATATATAATATATATAATATATATATAATATATATATAATATATATATATAATATATATATTATATATATATATATATAAACATTTACCTGTTCTTTGTTGTCTTTGTTGGGGTTGTATCCCAACTTATGGTCGTTATCACCATGGCATCCACTATTCAAACTGCCCCAAGGTCAGAAGCTCCAGTGCTACACGTCCCCGACGGCGTCGTGGTCTTTGGCTCCTTGAGTGGCTCCTGGGCGTGGATGGGAGTACCTAAAGGGCAATCCATAGTCTCTATTAAATGGGGAACGGGTTGTTTCCCAACTATGTGATAGTTTGAGTTTAAATGAGTTTAATATAGTTTAACATAGTTTAATGGGGCTTTAAATTTCAGGTTGGTGAACTGTTTTCATTTATGCAGGTGCGATCATATCACCCAACATGCCCAAGAATGATGCGGGATAGCTGTGCAGCAAAGTATGGCAAGTAATTGATCCTGTATGTGAAATGGTTGGTTCCCGATGGGCAGTAACCAGTCAGCCTCAATATGTTTGGTCTGTCACCATCTGCCCGCGGAACCCCATCAAGATGGCATATTGGAGGCTGGTCATCAGTCATATCATGTCATATCATGTCATATCAATCCCCAAAAAATGAGAACAATATGCAGCAATGTTATATGCCATTTATATACCATGATATACCCGGTATGTTTGGATTCGCACCAATCATGGGATCTATGACGACACCACCTTGGCATCCCATCACCATGGCATGGCTAAGCCTCCACCCAGGTGAATTCCACCAACTGCGCCATATCTTTGCCACGTGTGGTGATGTGTTGACCACACGCTATGTGGGCTTGGGCAATTACTGCAACAGGCGGGGGCACAGGACGTCAGACCATGAACCAATATGCTTTTCTGATGGTGTTCTGAAAGTCGGGGTGCAAAAGTATATTTCACAAATGTTGTTGTTGTTGTTGTTGTTGTTGTTGTTGTCGCCGTCGTTGTTTTAGTGGTTTCTTCATGTTTATTCAAATGGCCAGTTAGTCAGTTATATTGATCAACCAGGTGAATTGGGATGCCCCAAGTTTATATGTGCCATGGCCAGGGCCTTGGCACATATGTTGTTATACTCTGGTAAACCCAATGATATAACGATTAGTATAATTGTGATGGTTTACTATTAATGGTTATAAAAGCATATACCAGCTACTATTAGCATCATTATAGCTACTATATCCCAATGATCTCCCAATGATAAAGCTACGATAAATGGGGATGATTTATACCAAACATGATTTCATGGTGGTGACAACTGGTCAACATGTTGGGTGAATCCCACGAATCCCCCTGGGGGGTCCTGGAATGGGGGTCCCATGGGGTCCAGTAATATGTCCCGAAAGGGCCCTTTTTTAATTCCACGATTTCTATCTATTTCTGCTAAATTTCCAGCTCGTGTTGAAAGACCCACCCACAAAGTCGGCCCAGGGGGGAGCACGGCATTGAGACTTTGGGTTTGCTGTTCTCGTCTCTTTGGTGCAAGTGTTGCCGTCAATGGGGGGGCCAAGAAAACTCCACAAACACCACAGGCATGCTGGAAATATTGTCTGCAATCAGCACATTCCCAAGTGGAAAGAGGATTGGATGGACAACAGTTCAACATGGATCAACATAGGGGAACATTACCACGTATGACCACGTACTACTACAAGAATTGTGGATTTGATGTTTCTTCCTGTTCAATCGGCCATGTTTTTTTTTGCTCCCACCCCACTTCAGATTTTTTGGGGCGGATGACCCACTAACCACCCACAGACCTTATATTGGCATATTGGGTCACCCTACAGTGTGGATAATTGGGAGGTGCATAGGATTCCCTTGGCACGTTTTAACATCGATGGCTCAATGAGTTCGCTCGGTAGAATGGCTGTAAAATCTAGTCTTCTGCAAATCGATGTATGTAAGCCAAACCGTGGCGTTCAAATCTTTGTGTTTTGCAGGTTGCACTGTTGCACCATCCAGTTGTTGGTGTGACTCCCGATCGATGAGTTTTTTGTGAGTTTGCTTGGATCTCACATCGCAGTATCAACATTTCTATTTGGCCACATATGGATGCTGTGATCTATTTACATCTATTTATGTTGATCCTGTGCGTGCGTAAGTACAACTGTATTTTTGACAATGTCTTCAGAAGCCTAAGATAGCCTAAGCGTGAATTTTGGAGCATTCTGATGATGTGTATGTTGGTTTTCATCATCTACATGGCTCAAGTTTTGCAAGCATTACTACATATTACTACGTTTCAGATGATCTGGGCACGAACAGCACCGAGCAAGGTACAAATGTATGTTCCCTGAGAGATGCTTGGCCGGGAGGGGCCTGGCATCCTCCGGTAATTTCTTCGACAACTATCGAAGATGGCCCAGTGATGGTCCAGTTATGGAGGGTTTACAGAATTGAAAATGATGATTTTCCGTAGCTAATCGTAGCTATGTTGATTATGTTGCATTACCAGATGTTAAATCATGTAGGAATGGTCAAATGTTTGATGTTCAGTTGCCATGTTAGATCAGTGGTTCGTATGGGGAAACATTCCCAAAATTGTGAGCAGGATTGCTTGTGTTGAGCGATGGGTAGTGATGTTGATTGGAGGGAATGGAGTGAGTTTGCCAAAACAACTGACGGTAAGAAATTGGATTGGTGTTGACTATGAGTTGTGCAGATGATTGGTTATACGGAGTTATACCTGGTTGGTGGTTTGGAACATGGCTTCTATTTTCCCATATACATATTGGGAATGTCATCATCCCAACTAACTCATAATTTTCAGAGGGGTAGGTGGCTCAACCACCAACCAGATACGGTATAGGTTTGTCTCATGGGTCATCTAGGAAGATCGCTAGCCAGCCACCATGGCAGTCACCATGTGATGCTGAGATTTCATTCTCTTGCGTGGCAAACATGTGCCTTGGCAGCGCGCACTGGGGGGCCACTGGTGGGCCCACTGGAATCTCAGGGCCCTAGGCGCCCTAGGAGTTTGCACAGTGAGGTGAGACAAAAGAACAATAAAATAGAATAAATAGAGTGGTTTATAGATGTTTACAGCTTTAGTTTCCTGGAATTGCCACTGGAGCATCCCGTTTGTTGGACAGAGCCATTTGCAATCACTCTTTTCATCTCTTTTCATATTCACAGGCGGGCGTTGCGGTTTCCAAGTCACTAGCCCAAACCATGAGTTCGTCATGAATTCGGGAGAAACCCTCCATGTTGCCATTTTTCGGAACATCAACTCGTTTCGTATAAAAAGATGGCGTGACTTTTCATGGCAATGGCATGCAATGGCTGTTTGTTTTTGTTTGGGTGCTGCAACATCCTGATTGTTTGCGTTGTTGGTAGCATAGCTCGTTGCATCCGGATGGCGTAGGATTGGAAAAGTGCCATGTTTCATGGGGACTTCTTAATATTACCATCTGGTTATTTAACATAGCCATGGAAAATTACAATTTTTAATAGGTAAACCATCCAAAAATGGGCCATTTTCCATGGTTATGAGCTATGTAAAGTAATCAGAAGGTATTAATTACTTGTAGTATCGATCGATAAGTGGGAATTTTTCCATAGCTATCTTCAATTGCCGAGGTCTGTGTGGTCCAAAATCGGGTCCTTTGCGTCTGTTCGGGGCTCTCTTGTGAACATGGTTCGGCCGGCCTTCATTGGATGGTGTTGGCACATGGAACACATCGTGTTTCTACATAGAAATGGATCAAAACCAAGGAATTCTCATGTGGTAAACCATGGTAAACCATGGTAAACCCAATGCCATAAACCATCCCCAATAGTGTAGGGCCAGGTTTTTTTCCCTGTTTGGGATGATGTAAACCCAACCAATGTGGCACACCCAATGCCACCATCCCATGAACCAACCATGACTGGGGGGTCATTGTAGATCCCCCCCATGATTGAACGGCCGGATCATCAAGCGCTAATGACTGGGCGGAATGCTGGGTGGAAAATTGTGGTTTGATCTATGTTGATCTCAACCATGACTGGGCATTTCAGACATTGGTTCAAAAACCCGCAGAACGAACCACCATTTTTGTCTTTGTGGCTTTGTGAACCAGCAGCCAGTGGCCAGGTTTTGATTTCTTGCAACGCCTCGAACGGCCCACGGACATTCCGGACGAAGGAGCAGCCAGGGGACGGTATGACTGGAGGGGCTACGGATGGCTACGGCTCTTTGAATTTGGAGACTTAGGTCATTTTTTTGCACAGCAAAATTGCCATTATTTGAATAGCAAAAAATTGTCATTTGTTTGAATAGCAGCATGAATCAACGGAGCACAAAACACTTAAAATGAGCAAGAGTCGTCATACCACCGGCCTGAATGACTCACCTTGGGGGATGGGAGATGGATCAAAGCCATGAAATACCGTCTTGAACATTGAACATCCATTTATTTATACCAGTTTTGGGGGTTAGGGGGTGCTGTTTTCGGGGAGTTATGTCATGTTATGTCCATATCTCCCTGGCAACATGAACAAATCCAAAAGGTTGGTGGATGGTACTATGTGTAGTGTTAAGTTTATATTCATACAATTTCATATATACAGATGTCAAATATGTCAAAACATACCCCCCAATATATATATATATATATTTATACATACATATATTAAGTAGCTGTTCGCACAGGTGATTTAATGTTGCGATCAGTTTCATGACGACACCACCACAGAGGATGTGTAGATATCCTCCGGTTGCCAGATTCCCCAAAATAAGATCATATAATTCAATAATTAAAAAAAATACTTTACTTCGTGTGATCCCCACCATGACATTTATACATTTTGTTACTGGCAAATCTTCTGGCATTCTATCTGCCTTTTGCTCTGGCATTCTATCTGGCATACCTGCTGGCATTCTATCTGGCATATCTTTTGGCATTCTACCTGGCATATCTTCTGGCATATGTTCTGGCATATCTTCCGGCATTCTATCTGGCATACCTTCTGGCATATTATCTGGCAAATCTTCTGGCATTCTATCTGGCAAACATTCTGGCACTTTATCTGGCATATCTTCTGGCATTCTATCTGACATTTTATCTGGCATTCTATCTGGCATACCTTCTGGCATTCTATCTGGCATATCTTCTGGCATTCTATCTGACATTCTATCTGGCATATCTTCTAGCATATCTTCTGGCATTCTATCTGACATTCCATCTGGCATATCTTCTGGCATTCTATCTGGCCGTTGAGGTCCAGCGGTGCACACTGAGCTGGGCAGGTCCCAGGTTGAGGTCCAGCGGTGCACACTGAGCTGGGCAGGTCCCCGGTTGAGGTCCAGCGGTGCACACTGAGCTGGGCAGGTCCCCGGTTGAGGTCCAGCGGTGCACACTGAGCTGGGCAGGTCCCCGGTTGAGGTCCAGCGGTGCACACTGAGCTGGGCAGGTCCCCGGTTGAGGTCGAGCGGTGCACACTGAGCTGAGCAGCTCCCAGGTTGAGGTCCAGCAGTGCACACTGAGCTGGGCAGCTCCCAGGTTGAGGTCCAGCGGTGCACACTGAGCTGGGAAGTTGGCAAAGAGCTTGGCGAAGAGTTGGCAAGGCGGAAGTGGACGTGGAAGTGGAGGCAGAGGTGGTGGAGGAGAAACTGGAGGAGGAGGCGGAGGAGGAGGAGAAGGAGGAGGAGGAGGACGAGGAGAAGGCGGAGGAGGAGGAGGCAGTGGAGGACAGCTAGCGAGGAGGAGAAGAACAGCTCTGATAAAATCTAACAACCCTTACCTGGCAGGTGGGGAATAACGGATCCTTGATAATCCAATACTAAACCAGGGATTTTGTTTGGATTGCCCAGTCCTATTGTGGCCTTTTCGACACGACCCACCTTCAGTTTCCACACGACATGGTGCCAGGATTCTTGTGCGATCTACTTTGGGCTGATGCTGGGTTGCGGCGAACGCTATTGTCGTCCAAGGCTGTGCCATAAATATGGGTTGTAAGTTCCAACATGCTCTATTTAGATGGGTCCTAAGTCCTAAGATGGCTTGTAAGATGTTATAATCAGATAAAATAAGAATAAATAAGATAAAATAAGATGATATTACCTATCACTAGATATAAGATGATATAACTATAGATACCATGTGGTTATTTAACATAGCCATGGAAATCCACCCATTTTTAAGTTCGGCAAACCATCTTTTTCTATGGGCCATCTACACCATGGCTATGTTAAATAACCAGAGGGTAACATCTATAACAGTAAATCAAACAGTACCTCTATAGATCCCCAAAGGATCTGTTATAGATGTTATAGATATACTATAGATATAACTACCACCAGTTTCCCAAGCGCTTAACAGAAACGCTCCGCTTAACCTCCTCGAAACTCTAAGGAGCCGGACCTCCACATCGCAGGCACAGTGGGCAGTGCCACCACTGGGTCTGTCTGGGATAACACACATCTCTCACGACTGGCAAGAGAGTATAATTGTGTATATTCATATGGATATATAATGATATATATATATATTTATATTTAGAGTATACTGTATACTACATATATATATATATACCTTTCACAACCGCAGCATGTTCTCGTGTCACTCATGTGCTGGAGGAGAATCATTTCATGTTTTGGTCATTGGGATCTGTCGGGGGATATAAACCTACCATCGTGTTTCGGTCCAAACTTTGAGGCAGAAAAATGTTGTTTGGGTAAAACTGAGCTGGGTATTCATCAATCTTTATAGGTGAATATCGGTGATTTAGATTGATTTTGAAAGGATGTGCGACTTGGTACATCTTTACCTTCATCGTCCTATACCAATCGTTAGATGTTTCGTCCCATGAATGTACATGTCATCACAAGCTGGAAAGTTGGATAGCCTCTGGTAGTTTAACAGTTTTCCTGTTGAAAATCACTATTTTGAATTGGTAAATCAACAATTTATACCATTTAACAATGGCCATTTTCTATGTCGCAAAGTGTTCTGTCATTCCGGGTCCCATCCCCAGGCTTCTCGGACAGCATCCGAGATGGCAACAAGTTTGGGCCGGACGTGGTGCAGAACTTCCTGCGAGCGAACAACTTTGAGATGCGCCCCGCGCTGGGAGCTGGGAGAAATCAGCCATGGGATGATATCCATATGGTGTATGAATAGAAATAGATTGAAAAACTTATTGTATAGATATTACACGCAACATTTATATAATATAAAGAAATGATTACATGGGATGCGTGTGATATTAGTTAAGTTCAATTCTAGTTGGTGAAGCCTTGATCAGCTTCGGTACATCCCCTCAGCAACCAATAGGAATGAATCATTGGATGAAGCTGTGCTGGCCATAGCATGTGACAAATGATTTGTTGCATCTCCATGTTTATCTCCAGGAATTTTTCAGAAGTGGGGGCCAATAAAACATCATTTTTAACATAAAACATCATTTTTAATCATCCTTAGAGGCTGACTCTGCCGCTTTATTGCTTCAACAGCATGGTGTTCCAGTTCCAGGTCACCCACGGCCCAGCCCTGGCGTCCAAGGATGTGTCGAACTGCTGTGGTGGATGAAGGCTTCGAATGGTTTGGAGATACCAAGTTCCTGGGCACATCCGCCAGGTGATGGTTCGGGACCTCGGGATGTTCCAGGCTCATTGGCGTTTCATCGTCAAGGCCGCGTCTTTCTGTATGTTATATGTGTTTGTGACGTATTTTTCAGGGATGCAGGCATATTCTTGAAAATTCCCCACGATTCATATGTCAAGAGCTGTGCTGAAGTTGTATTACATTGTAATGCTTGAGCCCTTATTTGTAGATGAGAGTGACCTTGCCTTCCAAGGCAGGCGTGGAGGAAAACTGGTCAAACATGATTTTGTCTTCCCAAGATGTCCCAAATTCAACAAGGTTATCAAGTCAAAGTAGCTAAAGCATCTGAAGCTAACTTCACAATGTCATGGGCGTCACACTTTTGTGCCCTCCTTGAACGAAACTTTCAGCATGGGATCAGGTTGGTCACCATCATCAGCGTTGCCAACTACGCGTCCCTTTGCAGCATCAAAATTGGTCATGAAACTGCAAGGCTTGGTCGCTTCCGTTTGCCAAAAACAGGGACGAAAGTTTGGGTATCCTGCGATTTTTGAAGAGTATCTTTTGCAAGGAAACATTATTTCCAAGGATACTGTTAATTCCAAAGTAGTGATGGTCCTGTGATTGTCCCTTGGGGTTTCAAAGGAGTCAAAGCAGTTGAGACGACAACTGCCCTCAGGGGAGAATTCAACAACAAGGGGGCTGTCATGTTGATCGACGCCGCTCGGTTGAGCTCGTGGCTACGGTGTGGAGTTGGTTGCTACGTTTCAAAATTTTCAAACATGTCAAAGTTTCCATTTCTTGCTTCTCTAGTTGTGGATGACTCACCTACGCTTCATTTTTTCAATCCCAGTTGGCCAGCAACTTGAGGTAGAAAGCTGGTTCACCAGTAGTGCATCACCATGATACATTCAAGCAAGCAAGTTGGCAGGTGTAACGATGTTTACTGGACATCAACCGCCCAACAAAAGCAAATGGTCAATATTCATGGTGGCGGGTGTTTACCCCCAGGGATCGCTTTGGCAAGTCATCCTGCAAAAGTGGTCAGGAAACGTCATTTGGAGGTAACTAGCGTTTGTATACCCCAAATTTGGAGGTTAAAAGATTTACATTCTGGCTATTAAAAATGGGTGGATTTTCCATGGCGATGTTAGTCATAACCAGATGGTAAAAGCCATAAATCGTAACTACTGTAAGTTTTCCAAGGTTTTCCCATCATTTCATGGCCATTTTTCGTGGTTCCTGTGAGAATCACCTTGTGACCACCTGCCCCCTGAGGACAACGGCAATGCGACCTTCTCCGTTTTCGAGTCTGGAGCAGCTCCAAAAGCTCCACGGCAGCGCTCGTTGTCACCATCATCAGCTCCAGCAGCTCTAGCTCCGCTTGCCAAAGATGCGGCGGGATAGAAGAAATATGAGGAAATACTGAAAAGTCTGCCATAAATGGAGGAATCTGAATATGTCTTTTGACATTCTTTAATTGTGATAAAAATGAGGTGACCAACACTATTTTATATTTTTGTGCACGATCTCCAAGCGTGCTTCCATTTGTAAAATAGCCGTACACCTTTTGGTGCACCTTTTCGCCAGTGGCAAGAAGGCCACTCTTCAATGAGTGGTCAGAGAACTTGGAATCGATTTGGAAAAGAAGTTGTGCCGCTTTTCCGTTCGTACAAGGGTCCTGATATCTCGGGTGTGTCTCACGGTATCATCCCCTTTGCCGGGGAATGGGCCTGCCCTTGGGAATGCAGTTCCCCTTCATAGGTGGGCAAATATATGGCCATAATCAAAGCGGCTATATCCCAACGTATGGTTTGATTGTGACCATGGATATACCGATATACCGGGTTACCCCATGTTACCCCATAGAAAGCCGAACTTCAACCCCAAGTGCTATTGGATAGTGAAGGTTTTGGGGGCCTATTTGGGCCTATTGAAATCATGAAAAAATATGATCGCTGGGACATCTTCATACTATATACTGAACTATTAAGTTGCAAAAAGCGCATGATATTCATCACAAATGGACTGTCCGGATGCTGCCAATATCATATTTCATACTTTATAGATGGGATCGTGGGTCATCATTGGGTGCTGATAGTCTTCAAATGCGGGGGACCACCAATGAGACAGTGTAACTGGTGGAATACCCTGTGCCAGGAACATCCCAATCAGTATTGGACCATGTAAATCATATAACATGATAAACCTGGGTATGTTTCAATATACAACTGGTTTGCCTTGGGTACAGTTGCTATTTCCATTGCTATTTCCACCCTGCCTTTCCCAGTCGCGGGTGAAATCTCCTGCGGTTTCCCCCGCTCCACGTGGCGCACAATTTGGGCCCGGGCCGAGGTGTGTCCCATCAGCATGGACCAAGTGGCTGTGCTGGCCATGCAGCTGGACGTGCCCAAGGTGAGAACAGGGAGAACTATCGCAGTAGTAGTGGGAACATCATGGTAAATCCATGGTAAATCATGGTAAATCATGGAAAAATGGAAAATCCGTGGTAAATATCGTGATTTGAATAACCCCCAAAAGGAAGATGTTGCTCAAATTTGCAAGCAGCCTGAACGTACCTATGTGAATATAGATGTGACATGAGCATATGTCATATATGGATGTGGGTATGTGCATGTGCCTCTCATGTGTAAAGCATCTGAGAGAACTGGAAGATCAGGTGAGGCCACAGGCGGAAGATCTTGTTGGGAGAGCGGCGCTATTGATCGCTATTGATCGCTATTGATCATTCCTGAACCCTAAAATGAAACTTGTAAGCTGCTTTAAGCTACTTTAAGCTTTCAAAATTCTCAAATCATTCAAATCTCCTCTCCGAAAATCTGGTAGGCACAGGCACAACCTTGTTGTTTCTTTCCCAGATTCTATCAACAAAAGCCGTGGAGCTTCAGGATGAAAATTTGTGACAAGAAACTCTTCCTGCCCGAAAACCTCACGGAAACACCACCTGTGGACTGTGGACCTGGAAAACCCACCTCTGACCATGTTACCATTTGGGGGGTTCCATACATGGTGGTACCCCTATTGGGCTGGATGGTTTATTTAGTCATGGAAAATGCCAATCTAAAATTGATGATTTTTTCAGGTCGCCCCATTTTTTCGGAAACCTCCGTTTGGTAATGTACCCTCTGGTAAACGTTTACATAACTATGGACAATCACCATATATTTTAAATGGGAAAATCCACTATTTCTATGGCCATTTTCAATAGTTTTTTGCATGTTTACCAGAGGTAGTCTTCAAAAATGAGCAGACACTGGGACGGTCACCTGCCAGGCTTGGGTTCTGGATCGGATCTACGATTGGATCGCTGCTTCACGTCAGGCACCTGGGCAGCAAGCCTGGAAACTTTTCCGTGCCGGCCATGAGGAATTCTCCATCTCAATAACTGGTTGGTGGTTTCAAACATGAATTTTATTTTCCATAATATATGGGATAATCCTTCCCATTGACGAACTCATACTTTTCAAGATGGTGCTGATTATTTGCCAAAAAAATAACTGGTTGGTGGTTTGGAACATGGCTTTTATGACTTTCCATATGTTGGGAATAATATTCCCAACTGACTTTCATATTTTTCAGAGGGGTAGGTATACCACCAACCAGATAATGTACATAGCACGGATGGTCTTTATTGGGATATAATCGAGACAATTCCTGCCATCCTCATATTAAACCCTGTCAATGAGATATTGACCATCCAGATTGGCGATACCATGGCAACATACTACATATACCACAGCAACGATAGTGTGTGTGATTGGTATTTATGTATTGTATATTATTTGTCGGATTTCATGGGATGGTATCATGAGCATACCGGCATAGAACTGATACAATGGGGGTAATCCCTTTCCCTAAAGATATCTAGAGATTAGAAAATAAGTCCCTTCCGACCCCTGAATCAGGACAATTGGGTCTAATGTACAAGACCCAGCTAAGTTTTTACCCACTAAGTTGTCCTTAAGTCGACGTATTCTCCGGCACGTTCCTGGGCGCTTGCCCCTCCGATTCACGGGGGATTGGCAGGTCACCTAAAAGGTCTTTCACCGTCACCAGATTCCTGGGTTGGAAGATGTTGGAAGGTCCTGATTTTCTTATAACTAATCTCTTGGTTGGTGGTTCCAAGATGTTCCAAGCGTCCAATGAATGTGCCTTTCGGATTGATGATATTGATGGACCCTGACGATTATTTTACACGGGCTGCCAACAAAAAAGTGATGATTTGCTATACAAATTGCTACCCGACTACCCTCGTCTATACATCAACTCGTGGTTTAGCATCATCCTGGGCGAACATTACTGCGTTTCAACCCCCTCCTGATGTCAAGCCCGCCACTTCTTGCCAAGGGGGATCACCACAAAGTAATGGAACTTTACGTAACCGTTGAACGTTCATCGACCTAACTGTGTATACAATTGTCATACACCTCCCCTGTCTTTGTTGGTTCAAATCAAGTTTTTGTGCATAAAACATATACATTCAAACCATCATCATTTATCTAAGAACGATTAATAAACCATCATTTTAGCCATCATTAAACCATTATTAAACCATCATTTACCCGGTATTTTCGTTGGCTGAATCGATGGTTCAACTACCCAACGGGTTCGTGGGCCAGGCAGCCGGCCAACGTCACTTGAAGAACTTTCGGAACTGGTTGAAGCGACAGGCGCGGCGTGTTTTCAACGACTTTGGCTGGGGATGGCAATGTGTTCAACGATGGGGGCTGAGCATTTTAGGACTTATAACAATAGGCTTATAATAGTAGTATATAGATGTATATAGCTTATAATCTTAGAACTTAGAACTGCTTTTAAGCGTATCCTTTTCTCCAACTCCAAGTATCCCAAGGTGATGCTCCAAATGTCCAAAGCAGAACATATGTTTGAACCTCTGTTTCAGGTTCTTTAAGGAGAGGCAAGATGCTTCCCCGTTGGTGACATGGTCTTGTGAGTCGGTTTCGGCCTTGAGACTGATGTGTTTCAGACGGAGCCACCAGCCCCTTGCAGAGAGGATTCAAGTACCTGATCAGCATTATCTAGGGGAACCTATAGGACAAGGGGAAGTCATCTATGAATATTTACCACTTTGAGATGGATCTAATATAGTGCATGAACATCAGCAAGGACACCAGTGCTTATAGCTTATTATAGCTAAAAGCGAGTGCTTCTGAAGGAATCAAAATTCTACCAAACCGTAGGTGGAAAATCAGGAAATTCAGGAAACACACCCTCGATAGCCTCGATCTTTCGTATACCAAGTTTTTGCGGGTGGCCAATCTTCATTTTTCCTGTGTTTCCTGTGTTTCCCTGAACTAATATACATAAACATATATATACAGTATTATATAGTGCGTGTAGTCATTCTTGGCTATTTTTAAGGCGGAGGCTTAGTTAGATGAAACCACCCTGATGTGCACATTTTGAGCCAGGTTCAGCTGTGGCACCAACGTCAGGCGGAGGGGTAAAACATGCAGCATTTGTGCTGATGATGGCTGTGTTTCCAGGGTTCATTACGTTTTTAGTAGTTCGGTATGTTAGTATGTGATGATGATGACTGATGTTTGTATGTTTTTAGTCTAGAAAATTACTGTAACCCAAGATTTTGTTGGATGAATGGACAATCTTTAGTTTGCTGTCTTCATAATTTCCAGGCAAGTTTGTAGGAACAAATCTGGGAGAGTGGTTCATTGACTATTCCTATTACATTGACAGATTCACTTGCTGGTTCTTTGACAGACTTTCGTCCCATTTTTTATGCAAGATACTGTATATTACTGTATGTAGGATGTTGTCGGATCATGGCACCAGTTTGATGCGGGATCCACTCATTTTAAAGGTCACCGGCCATATACCCTCTGGTAATTTAACATAGCTATTGAACATGGTGATTTGGTTCGTGGATTTATCCAGCTAGAAAATGGTGGTGATTTTCCATAGTTTTTTGTTAACGTTTACCAGGCCGGGTAAGGCTGTTCCATTCTGCACAACCTTCGCCGCAATATTGATCAACCCTTCAGGTCCGGCAGGATCTTCGCACAAAAAGGAAGTGGCATCATATAATCAACATACCAGTAATGTTGATCAACATTCAATGGATATGTTGATTATATGTTGATGATATGTTGATGATATGTTGATTATATGATTCAATGGATTGGTTTTGTTGGGAAAAATGAAACCGGTTTAAGCCCCATGATCTGGTTGATGGGAAAATCGATGGTTTCCGGTTAAGATTTTCCCTTAAACCAATCCATTGAATCATGTAATCAACATATCATCAACCTACTGACCTACTCATATCTATTGCAATTGGATAACCGGGACCTCCATCATCTTTGAATTTTTTTTGTGGGACGCTTGAAATCTCACCGCAGAGCCTGAAA